TCATGTTTATATGCAGACATATTTGTCTGTTCACTTTTCCTGGATGCTTGTATATTTTAGTACCAACCAGTTCCATGAGCTAATCATAATTGCTCTCATCTTTATGTGGATGTTTGGTTTTGTGTAGAAAAAGAAGACTGGAATATGTTCTGCTTAATCAACAAGTCTTTGAGATTGTATTCGAGGAAATGAGGAAAGGTGAGTGATATAATAATCTGTGATGTTTCTCTCTTCTCAGGTGTTCACACACTCCAGTGGATGTACGGCTGTGAGCTGGATGATGGCACCAAACGAGGATACATGCAGTATGGTTATGATGGAGGGGACTTCCTCAGTCTGGACTTGAACACCCGCACCTGGACTGCTGCTAAAGATCAAGCTGTGGCTACCAAGGTTAAATGGGATTCCACTGGAGCATACGCAATGCAGCAGAAAGGATATCTGGAGAACACATGCATCGAGTGGCTGCAGAAGTATGTGGGTTATGGCAAGGACACTCTGGAGAGAAAAGGTAATAATATGAGTTTCTGGGTCACTGCAGAACACTGTATAGTGAGTGTTTATCATAACTGCATTCACATCTTTAGCTAGAAACAGAGCATGTTCATGCTTCATAAAAAAACATTCATCTGCTTAAAAATGAGAACAGGATGTAAAAGCCATACATGAGATATTTATGGTATAAACCTGCATATTTTACATCTTGGGCATCACTGGAGTATCTGTACATGATCTAGTTTAAGAAGTGTGCTGCCAGAAAACAGATAATATACAATAAAGTGAAAATATGTATTCCTTAGCATAATGCTATATTATTATTATGCATAGTTTAGCATTTGTCAGGGCTTTTTATCATACAACAACACAACATATAAGCAAATTGAATTGTGTGAAACAGTAATTCAAAAATAACTTGAGACTTTATTGTGTATGCATGCAGTGGAAAAAAAGGTTTCAATCAAACTTTGAAAAATTAACTTTTTATAATTATCTGATAAAGCTATTGATATGAGCTGTGCTCAAAACTACAACAGATTATAAGAAGAAATGTATAAGAATTATTTTATTTGAATGTTGTAGGCTTTGTCTAATTTTCTTATTCAGTCCCACTTCATCATTTTTAATCATCTTCTCTCTTCAGTCTCTCCTCAGGTGTCTCTGCTGAAGAAGTCTTCCTCCTCTCAAGTCGTGTGTCATACTACAGGATTTTACCCCAAAGAAGTAACAATCTCCTGGCAGAAAAATGGACAAGATCATTATGAGAATGTG